TATTTCAACCCAACATTGAGATAAAATACCTTTGTTATTGTAGTTGTCTTACTTTTTTCTTCCTCCTTCACTTCGATTAGTTTCTTGGCCGTTGGTTTCTTGGGTGGAATTTTCACGGCTAAAGTAAAATAGGAATAGTCATTACAAGTAAAAGAGAATGGGTAATGGAAATTGTTTAATCGAAATCTTCGCCATTCCACACCTTCATATATTTCGGACTCAATGCGAACATCTTCGATCCCAATATGAAGATGATCTTTGAAACTGTCTAATGTATGCTTATTAGCAACCACCCACTGAGCACGCTTTTGTGATTCTTGTCGAAGGATTTTTATAAAATCCCCACAGACAAACCAGTCTGGGAATGGAGGGCTAAAGGCCACCCCAAAGTCAGCACTGGGTAGTCGAGGGAATTTAGGAGGATACATGTTAAAAGTCATATTGTATCGTTTCTTGGGAGGAACGTACGAATGAATATTTAGATTCTCCATTTTCTTAAAAAAAAAATTCTTTTAAAGTAACAGATGCATCACAGACGGTTCGACCAATATCATCAGGTCTATAAGCAATTTCAAAGTATTTCTGGAATGCTTAGATTTCCTTGATGTGTGTCGAAATACCTTTCTTGACCTTTTCCTGCACAGAGAGGAAAACCTTGTTAATATGTTGGCTAAAAGCAGCCACATCGAAAAATTATTCAGCATAATAAGCTTTCCACCATTCATCGAATTGTTGGGTACAAAGGAAGCTTGCTTCGAAGGCAACAGGCAGAAGTCGTGTTCAACCAACATACCGAGCAATTTGTTTGATAGTTATAGCTTCAATATGGGATGCATTATAAAGGAGGAGGAGTTTTTTATTCTCATATAGGGGTTTAAGTAGGACTTTAACTAAGCCAAATTGTCGAGCGACAAGATTGGGCTGATAATTGATTAGGGTAACCAGACTCTTCGAAAGATTGAATCTAAGAGTTAAAACACTGGAAGTCATGAAAGCTTCCCAGATTGCAATAGACTCCACTTCGTGGGCTTTCGACAGAGCTATAAATAGCCTGGTGAACCATTCAGGACCACATCTTCTTGCAGCAAAGGAAGCCATGTTAGGTGAGAAGTCGTAATGTTTGGAAAACATCTCGATGTAGCTAGTAAAAGTCTGTTGAATAGTCCGACCATCATCACTAGGAGTTAATTTGGCCAAACTTGGGCCTTCGACTCTCCTGTTCTTCACTTCATTAACATCTTCATTGATCGGGTTTTTGTAAGGAAGGCAAGCTTCGAATGAAGCATTCAGCCACAGTTGCAGAAGACAAAAAGGCCCAAAGAGGAGAAGGTTTCCTTTTTCTCCTAGGTTTTTCAGTTGGTGACACATTCGCTCATGGAATCGTAAAGGTTGGCCAATATCATTTCGCTTAAACACAGATTGTGGCTGGAGTGGAGTTGGTTCACCATGGTTAAAAATTTCCTGGCTATTTGAAGCGACTTCGAACAAAAGACACAACGAGATAACCATAACGCTAAGAAGGATATGTGCTCTACATCATATACCTCCTCGACATCTTTGTTATGATAATGTGCTATATGGGTCGAATATGATGCCCTAGAAGTGGAAAATTTTATGCTATCCTCCTACATATAGTCAGGGTCATGTGTGTTGCCATTTGGTTTGAGCCCTATGATAGCAGATACGTCGAACAAGGTGGGAGACATCATTCCACAAGAAAGATGAATAGTGTAGTGGGTGCTATCCCAAAAATACAAGGAAGAGAGAAGCATGTTCAAACAATAGTCAGGACCTACTTTCGATAACATGATTAAATAAAAAATTCCCATGTCTTTCCAGGTTTGGGACTTTGTTTTCTCTAATTTCTCTAGCCATCCTATATAATCAGAAGGATCCTTAAAAGAAGGGCTTACCCGAAATACCCTAAAGTTATTCATGTACCTAAGGTCAATGGCCTCTTCAGTCGGAGGATTGCCCTGGTTAGCGGGATTGGGGTTCTCATTGCTAGCCCTAGGTTTTTTAGCATGACTTATAGGTTTGTACTTATGGTAAGTTGGAAGAAATCCTTAAATTCTCTAGGATCAACATTAACATCAGATAAAGGACCAAATAAAGCCAAAGGCTTACTAGTAACAGTGAGAGGAATAAGTACATGTGAGTCATAAATTCTTCTCTTATCCTCAACAAGTGGTTCAGGTAGGTATTGTTGATTTCCCACCATAGTTGGACCAGTGATCGTGTCAAATAGAGGAAGCTGAGAAGTCTTCTTAGGAACCTTCATAGGTTTAGTAGATTCCTTGGTGGCTTTGGTGACATCTTTGGTGGATCGGGTTGAGGAAGCCATTGTTGAAATAGAATTGATATGGGTTCTTTGAAGAAGAAGAAAATTGTGAAGTTGAGGATTCAGGAAACGCAAAAAGTGGAAAGAAATGAGAAATGGGGTATTTATAAGGATGGAAGTGAAAATAGTTATGAACTGACATTAATGGTTAAAATGGAAGTGGGACACGTGTTCTACTCGCTATCCTTGATGAAACGGTGGCATTTAATGCTTAGCCCCATGATCTCCTAGGGTCTAGGATACGTGATGATGGCAAAATTTCTCACGTGGGGTTGATGGGATGTTTCAGAAAATGTAATCATGACCATGACGTCATAGGCGTGCTATAGAAGGTAAACTGTTTATAACATTGACTCATTGGAGATGTCGAATCACACATGGATCATCTGAGGTGTCGAATAAGGCTATTTAAAAATATCTTTTTTTTTCCAGTGCTATCGAAAATGACATTTTTTGGGGGCAATTTGTTAGCTCTCAAATTCGAATCCTAGTTTTAATTAATGGAAATAATAAAGAAAGTTACATGAAGTTGTGAGAAGTTTCGACAAAGTTGTGAAACTTGTTTGTTTCGGTCGAAGCTACCCTTTTGTATAAGGAGGATATGCTGAATAAGATTTGAGGAAAAAATATTCTAAAGTCTTAGAAGTTGGTTCGACAGAAAATTGTTGATGTTGTTTCGACATGAGATTTGAATTTAAATAAATGGAGGGAACTTTTATTCTTATCCAGATTTATGAAGGAGACACATGAAGCTTTTTCGAGGAAAGGAGACATGCCAAACACCACTTGTCTTATGTTTGTAAGAAGACTGTTAGGGTCGGTTATTATTTATCATTATAAATAGAAGATCCTAGCGTTAGCCAAACACCATAAGTTGTACAAAATCTCTAGAATTACTCAAAGTACCCATGTGCAGAGAAAAAAGTGTGTCGAAAAAATGTACGTTTGGCAAACACCATATTTTTAATTCAAGTTTTATCTTTTTACCACAAGTTTATCTTTTTATTGCTCAAGTTATTCTTCAATGCATTTAACTGCTTTTGATTAAGTCTTTGGAATTTACTTTCTTTGAATTTCGAAGTTTGCTAACTGTTAGATCATGAATGTTGTCGAAATATTCACCATTTTATGAACTTTAATTTAAGATTTACTAGCACATGTCTTAGGATATATATGGTCGATCCTGTAAGTAACCCAATTATTTTTCGATTTGGAAAGACCAACGGTTGTTTATTAATTTTTATGGTGAACAACATTGACTTTAACTCTGCTAGATTAACCCCGCTTTCTTCAACACATGCTAAAAGACTCCCCCGACATCCAGAGTGCTCAATGAGTCTTGGGGACAACTGCCCTGGGTCGGTTGAAGGCCCGATAAAATCAGACCCACTCATATCACCTACTCCATTGAGCCTAAAGTATAAATATAGTTCTAAGGGATTTCAGGTACATAATTTCTAATCTCCACTCACACTACAATGATCTTGAACTCTAAACAGACTTGCGTGAGAGTGCTAACCATGTAGACACCCATCTGGATCCGCCATATTGAAGATTAATGACATCCGTTCAAGATCAACTACTCCGATTCAAGATGTATCATAATCACAACCTTCGAACCAAAAAACCACATCATTAAATTGCCTACGAAGTTTCGTTCCATCGTAACTACTACAATTTATGATTACAATATTAAATTTATAACCTAATATTACGAGATCCCTATTCGAATTTACATTATATCACATGTTTTACTTCATATCAAATATATTATTTTAATGCATTTTGATGATATTCATAAAAAAATATACAATTTATAATTTTGATATTAAAAAAATTTTCCCCAAGATATTTGTTTTACTCTGCAAATTTTAACTTCAAATAGTAAATTTTAATCCAAAATAAATTACACTAATTTTGATCCAATATAATTTTTAATATTATTCATCAAAACAAAACGAAATCATGTACATATAACTTTATATTTTGATCAAAAACAAATTTTTATCTCAAAACTAATCTAAACGAAACCAATATAATATCAACCACAAATTCTAAACTTCAATGACTGCAGTTTTTTTTTTCTTCTTTTTCTATTGACAGAAATATTTGACAAAATTATTTTTTATCAGAAATGTGTTGCCTAAAAGAAAGGAGACAATAAATCATACCGCTCTCCCAAACAAAATATCTCAAAATAAAAAGACCGTTGGGGGTTTGAATTTTTTATTTACCTTTTCATCATATTTCTTTACACCGAGTCTCTGGAAAATTCGTTTGTATAGCGGAGAAAAAGCAAAACAAAAATTTGAAATAGAAAAAGAAAATTTCAAAAATCTCCTTAATTAGCCGTTAATAAAACCTAAATTTTCTCTCAGAAAAACGAAAAACACTCCTTTTCGTATTATTACAAATACGAGTTTACCGTTTTACCCTCAAAAATTCACAATATATTCCCTCTTTCTACTCTCTCAATTCTCATTTTCAATTCTCAGTTTCTCACTCTTCAGGTTCGTTCATCGCTTTATTCCCTCTCTCTCTTTTTATTTTATTTTTATCCAGTTTCAATTTCAATATGAAAACGCGTGTTTATTTTACTTACTCTTCATTTTTTTTTCAGATTCAAATCGAGCTATTCTGAAACCCTAGTTTTTGAAGCATGGGTCAGATCCAGTATTCTGAGAAGTATTTTGATGATAATTATGAGTATAGGTATAAACACTCTTGTGAAGTTCGTTTACTTGAGTTTTCTTCTTCCTTATTGATTAACCTAGTTTTTATTTTCTTGAATATTTTGTGATATCGTTTTTTTTACAGGCATGTTGTTTTGCCTCCTGAAGTTGCTAAATTGCTTCCTAAGAATCGGCTTCTCTCTGAAGTAAGCAATTAAGAATCGACGCTTTTTTGATTTTTTTGTTGTTGTGGTTTTTGTGATTATTTAATCAATTTTTGGCTGATCTATGGTTTTGTGTTAACCTAGTTTACTGAAAATTGTTTTATGATGAAAAAATTGTTATGAGTTTGTTTTATTTCAATCCTTAGTTGTAAAATTGATGTCAATATCTTGTTATTTTGTTGATTTAATATCGATTTATGCTGAAGTTGATGCTCTGGTTTTGATGAATGATTGTTTTATTTTGTTGTGTGTTATGATGACTGAATATGACTTTGTACGTGTTTGTTTGGGTTTACTTTTCAAAGAGTACAAAGGGATTCTGAAAACTTAATTGGACTTTGGCATGTTTGAGGGTTCTAGATTATAATACTTGTGGGAGTCGATAAGTGAATATTACTTTGTGCATGTTTGGGTTTACTTTTGCAAGAGCACAAAGGGATTCTGAAAACTTAAATTGGATTTTGGCATGTTTGAGGGTTCTAGGTTATAATAATAGTTTGATAAATGATTGTTTATTTTATTATGGTATAATTGATAAATGAATATTACTTTGTATATGTTTGGGTTCATTTTTTTTAGAGAGCATAGAGATTCTGAAAACTTAAATTGGATTTTGGCATGTTTGAAATTTCTAGATTATAATTGATTTTGATAAATGATTGTTTATTTTGTTGTGGTAATTGATAAATGAATATTGCTCTGTACATGGTTGGGTTCAGTTTTGAGAGAGCCCATAGAGATTCTGAAAACTTATATTGGATTTTGGCATGTCTGAAAGAATTCCAGATTATAGTTGATTTTGATACACATTGATTCTAATCTAAAGCTAGGGTTTGTGATTTTTGCTTGTAAAACGTGACCACCAAATTAATTTTACAAAATCAGTTCAATTAGAGTCAATTTTTTTGCAACTCTGCCTCAATCAAAGAATAGTCTATGGTTATTGTTCAAATTGGTTAAACAATGAAATTTGATTATTGAACATTTTCTATTATGAGTTTATGTATCAGTCAACTGTTAGGGTTGTTTTTTTGCAGTGTGTTCTTGCAAAAGTGTGTTTTGTAAGTTAGTCTGGTCTTTGTAAGCTAAAACTATTTCTGTAACGCTTCTAAATTATGTTGTTTATAATGTTTAATTACTAACATTGGTTTAATCATACAGAATGAGTGGCGTGCTATAGGTGTTCAGCAGAGCCGTGGCTGGGTTCATTATGCTATTCATCGTCCTGAGCCACACATTATGCTTTTCAGGAGGCCTCTGAATTATCAGCAGCAGCAGGATAACCAGGCACAGCAAAGCATGCTTGTTAAGTGATATTTTAAATTCTGAAACTCTAAAATGGATACAATATTATAAGCTTTTAATGTTTTTGGTTTACTTCTCGTGTACTGTTTTTGCGTACTTCATTTGTTTTTGCGTTAATATCCTATAACGCTTGTGAACATTTTCAAGTTCCTATTCTTGTTAAAAACAAAATTTTAAGAATTTTGTTTGTGTGATATACTGCTTAAATATTCATTTTTGTTAACTTTTTTGTTGATCTATATAAATAAAAGCCTTCTTCTAAGAAAATGGTCACCTTACTCAAGTAGTTATTTGAGAGAATTAAAATATCTCTCTCTCATTTTTGTTAACTTTTTTGTTGATCTATATAAATAAAAGCCTTCTTCTAAGAAAATGGTCACCTTACTCAAGTAGTTATTTGAGAGAATTAAAATATCTATCTCTTGATTTAAATACCAAGACCCATTCTTTTTAGATCGAATGAAGAGAACAAAAAAAAAATCACTTTAATATTGAAAATCTCCCATTATAGTTTAGAATAGCCACTAAAGAGGAACTTCCACAATAGTGCAAAGTTAATAAAATAACAAGTCTCTAGTTGCTTGTTGAAGAAAGAATAAAAATCCAACTTCTATCATTGCATCCGGTTTTCATATATGCAGATACACGTTGACAACCTGAGATGTTCATGCCAACTTGTCACTTTATAACTCATTATTTTCTTTGTCGCAAAACCAAACACACACATAGCTCTCTACCTCAAGTTGGTTCGTTTTGAAAATTATGATTTTCATCATTTTGAAAATTTTATGATTTTCATTTAATAATCCACTATATAACTAATAAAATAAAATTATTTCGCCTTTCCTAATTTACCATCAAACTATTTACATTATAAAAAGGACAATTATATATTTAAGTATTTACTTATAAAAAGGACAATTATATATTTAACATATGGTTCAATTGCAGACTCTTTTTCGACTTGACATGTGGTACCAAATTCCCAACCACATACACTACTTTTTAAATTTCTCTTTTTCGTCTTTTTGAAACACCCATACACGATTTCCCTTCTCCCATGTCTCTCTTGAAACACTCAAACAAAAAGCTTCCCTTATCCTTTAGCTTCTTAAAGTTTACTTCAAATTACATTACAACTCCGTCAACATCAGGTTATACATATTATTTTTCCATTACTTGAACTATTTAAGTTTACTCGATTTCTTCCATTATTTCACTTTATACTCGGATTTTTTCTTCTTCTTACCATTATGATCTCCGTTCCGTAATAATTGGGAGGGTCAAGCGAGGAGCATTTTAAATGGTGTGACACCCTTCTTAGAGCAACAAAGACACACTACATATTCATCCAAAATCTTCAATAATTCACTCACTTATAAATATTTAAGTCACCACATTTCTATCCAACGTGAGACTATTATCCACACTACTCACACTTGAACATTGTGCGACTTTTCTTTTTAGAGCAACAACTTTGTGAGAGACACACCATATTCACCCAAAACCTTAAGATTTTGGGTGAAAATGTGGTGTATCTCTCACTTGTGTTGCTCTTGACCCAATGTTCATTGCTCCATAATGAAAAACTTCCCCAACAAATGGTATCATTAGCCTTTGGTTTGAGTGAATGACCGACCCACTTGTATCAAAATCAAAAGTATCTCCACAGGTGGTGGATTGAGTGTCCCGTTGAAGAGTGTCAACGGTGGTACAAGTGTATGTGGATAAAAAGAGCTCCCGCTTAAGAGGGAGTGTAATACCCCAAATTTTGTTCTGAGATTATTAGGTAGGTTCATTTCGCACGTCATCTCATCCTGCGTGACATTTTTAACTAACCGCTAACCGGTTTGTTTAGTCTGTTGGTTTTTGCAGGAAAATGGATTCTCTGCTTATCTGTTCAAGGCCATACTCACTGACTTTATTATCGGCCACAAATTAATTTTCCATATGATTTGTTTGAGCTCAGTTACGTCCGATCTAAACCGTACAAAATGTTTAATTGGCGAGTTCGGAGTTGAAAATCAGATAAGTATCATTTGAGGAATTTAATTAATTTGATTTTATTTAGATGAAGAGTTTAGCCATTTGGATTTAATCGAACAAGTTGGATTTATTCTGATGATGTTATTCGTTTAAGTTATCGGATGAATTATTTGGGAATTTTATCGGAGATTGGATTTAATCGGATGAATTGGATTGAAAAATTCAAATTAATAGAAAAAATAGAATTTTATTTATTCTGTTATTTTTTATTACAAGAAAAAGAATTACAATTTAAATTATATTTTTCTAAATTCCTACAAAATTCCTATTTTTCCTAAAAGACGTCTTCGATGCCGAATCTTCGAGTTCCGATTTTGCTCCGAACCTGTAAAACAAAACCAATACACAAACAAGCAATTTTTAGTTGGTTAGAATTAAAGTCGGTTTTATCGGTCCCGATACCCTTAGGAAGTTTTCATCATTAGGTATGTCGGGAGGGCAACTACAGAGTCGTCGCCAACTCCCGACTCAATTTCTCGACTCCGGCCTGGACCCGGCAGTATCTGTTCTAAGTTTCCAACCAGAGAGAGAAAGAGAGTGTAAGAACAGAGTATGCCTAAGAGGGGGGGGGGGGGTGAATTAGGACTTTTGAAACTTTTCCGGTTTTTATATGGTTCTAGGAAATATACTGGATGGTGTTCTTGGTTATGGAAAGCAGTAAATCAACAGAAAGAAAGAAGACACCAGGATTTATAGTGGTTCCCCTCACAATCCGAGAGTACTCCACTCCCCTTTCAACATGAAAGAGAATTTTCACTATTGTTTAAAACAGTACAACCTATCACACCATCAACCGGTGAGGCCTACTATCAAACAATCAAAAACACAAGTGTACAAGAACAGTCCTCTTGTAAACACTCACCCTTGTGTCCAACAATCCTGGATCACAAGTCAAAAATAAGATAATTGTAATGAATTTGGATTGAGTATAACTATCAAAGTGATCTTCTCCAATGAATCAAAATTCACTCTTTGTAATTTTTCAATACAAGTGTTCAATGAATATGAAATTTTCAATGCAAGTATGAACACTTTTGAAAAATGAATTTGATTCCAAGACAATTTTAAAAATGAGTATTGGAGGTTGAAAAGTTTTTGAGTTATGTTCTATTGGTTGTTTTTCAAAAATGAAAAACTCAGAATTTATATCAGTAAAATAACCTTTCAGAAAAGGTATGATTTTAAAAGATTCAAACCATAAAAAGGTATGTTTTTAAAATAATTTTTGAACTTGAAACAAAGCAATTTTTCACTGCACGTTCAGTGTTAATCGGTTAACCCATATGGTTAATCGGTTAACACTGGTACGTTAGCCCAGAAAATTCAAAATTCAAATTGGTTAACCGGTTAACCTATATGGTTAATCGGTTAACACTGCTAATTTTCAGAAAAATGCTTTTTAAAAAAATGTTATACCATTTTTAAGGTTTCAAAAAACATGCTTATGTATTATGCACAAATGATTGATGTTTTTGAACACTTGTATATCAAATTATAAAGGTGGATTTGATATACCAGTAATGCAGCCAAGTCTGGAAGAATCAGTTCCATATGTAGCTTGACTTGAAAGATAGCTTGATGACTTTATCTTGATGACTTTGAACGGTTTGTCTTTTTGCAATCAAGAGATGACTTTGAGTAGTATTGACATCATCAAAACTTGAGACTGAAGCATGCTTCTACAGAGAGGAAAAGTAACTTTTAACCGTGATTTTTCCGGAAAAGTGATTTTCAGAAAAGTGCTTTTGAGAAAAGCACTTTTTCTTGAAAAATGCTTTTGTCAAACAGCCCACTAACGAATTGCCCAAAAGTTTCGGAATGCCAACAGATCAAACACATCCTGAAGAAAGGCGCAAGTTTTGCAAACCCAGTCAAACAACACATGCAGCTCATCACATATCAACAATAAGCTCAACGAAAACCGTAAAAAGTTTCGCAACCAATAGTCACCAAGAACGCCTAAAAAATCTCCAAAGTAAACTCATCACAATCCAGACCCAGCGAAACACATGAAAATCATATATATAACTCATCAGCGGTTCAAGAAAAAGGGGAGGGGGTGGAAAAAACGAACATCATCATTGTTCATCAAGAGGAAAAAGAAAACGAGCATCAAGCTTCGCTCACCCAACGACGGAAACCCCAATCGTCAACGAAGATCATCACCAGAGCCAAAACGGCGACGACGAACCTCCTTCGTTCATCATCATCAACACCAAGCGGCAGCCGTAAAACTCCGGAAGAGCTCACTACCGCCGCGATCATCTCCTTAGTTGCCATCATCGGAGTCCGACGAGAGAAAGAAGAGAAAAGGTCGCGATCTGGGAGAAGAAGAAGACGGAACTTCCTTCGGCCATCATCATAATCGCGCGTCGTCACCGTTCAACAAACCGTGAATCAACCACTCCCAACCTCAAAAGAGGTGAGCAATTGGCTCTAACAAGTTTGTTTTTTTACAGGAAAAAGTAACGGGAGAGGAGAGGATGAACCATGCAAAGAAGAAGAGAAATTTTGCGAAAAAAGCTTCACAGTATAGTCATGGCTGGCGCAGCCAAGAAGAAGATGATGAAAGGGTAAAAAAAACCCTAGAATATGTCCAGAACGTGTTCCCCTCCCCATTTTTTATTGTTTGTTTTATTTTTTTATTTCTGTAATTTATATACATTTTTTAATGCCTTACAATTCAAAACCATTTTAACTTATAATTAAAAATCATTTTTTAGCTTATCATTAAAAACTATTTTTTTAATACCTTAGTTTAATATTTATAATTAAAAACCTTTATTTAATAGTTATAATTAAAAATTAGTTTTTAATAACTATAATTAAAAACCAGTTTTTAATAGTTATAAATAGTTATAATTAAAAAATTATTTTGTTTATAACTTACAATTAAAAAACCTTTTTTAATAGTTTAAAATTAAACCCTTTTTTAAAATTAAAAACATAACTAAAATTAAAAC